CAGGTACAGTGGGAGCTTCCTCTGGAAGTCATGGAACTGATGCTAGAAAGACTGTGAAGATCGCAATTTGGTCTGAGGACACTGGCAGCACAAATCAACCATCTGAAAAGCGACTGAAGCTGATGGGTGGTAAATTGGGAAGTTGCAGCTGAGGCAGGCTTTCCAAATATACCTCAGCAAGGCCTCGATCTAAGCAGCATACGGTGAACACTTTCTCTCCCAGTATTAACCATACTAACCTCCATTATTTTGACCCTGCAGCCTATTACTTTCATCCTACTTCCTCACACTATTAGTGCCTGCTACTAGGGATGTGCATGGGCAAAAAAATTTGCTTTGTCACTTCCAAAATTTGGGACTTTGGCACTTCCCCACCCCTATCCCTAACCTAACCGCAACCCTACTAGGGTTAGGGTTAAGGCTATGGTTAGATTCCTGTCATCATTTCCTTAATTATCCATCCCTCTCCTGTTTTGCCACTTTTCAGAAATCCAAAGCACTTCGGCACTTCCAAAATTCTGCACTTTTGCAATTCGGCACCTCGGCAATTTGGACATTCGGAATCCGAATTGCCAAAATTTATCGGAATTTAAATTCAGACCGAAACGAATGGCACATGTCTACCTGCCACACACTACATGGATAAATGGCGCACATCTTGGATCCACATACATATTTTTTAAGAGATCAGGGGAAAAAAACATAGGAATATAGATTTTATGGTAACTATGAGTGAAATATTAGTGTGGGTGGAACATTAAGTAGAGAAAAAATACTAGAGTTTTTAATTAAATTGATAAACTTCTCTTTCTGGAGGGTCGGCTGACCATGGTGGCAGGGACTCTTGCTGGGGTTCTTGGCAGATTGGCAAACTATCGCAGGCTGCTAGCGACCTCTTAGGAGTCTCTTGGGCCCCAAGGACGTAACGATGCTACCTCTGGACTCTTGGTCTGATTGATGTTTGGAACTGTACCTTGATCCATTATGGGGTGGTTTGGACAGCTCTATGGCCCGTGTCCCGGTCTGGGAACTCCCGATGAACAATGATCCTAAAACATATGTACCAGATAGCCAGTGACATCCATCTCCGGCTCATGGGACGTGGAGGTTGTAAGGAAACCAAGTGCATTTAAACCTCAATCGGTAGTTTCCTGCCGAACCGCCACAGCCCAGTGAATATAGCCCTCCGTTCGGTAGACGAATCCCAGTGTAATTCCAATAGTGTCCCTGGATAATTCCCTCAGTAAAACACACTAACTCCCAAACAGCATACGTAGTCAGAAGAAGGGTACAAAGATGAACTAAGGATTTATTGACAGGCATTCTCTTTTTATGGGATTCTGCCCATACAAGGGAGCCTCCCATATAATTAACTGTACAACCAATCATAACAATATACATACTGTACATCTCCTCCCCTCAGATAACCATTTAACATAATTAAAACGGAACATAATTTCCCCAAAGTCTGGATGTACCCCAAGGATAGCTGTACTCTGGGGGACCAACATATGAAAAAATCAGTCCATTCGGTTCAGCCGTTCGGGAGATATGGGACTTAGAAGTTTTGACCGACTGCACGGGCAAAGTAGCAGAAAACAGTTCCATGAATTCTGGCCCTGCAGTTGGTCTTAGGTCGCATGAAAAACCTCCCGAACGGCCGGCCATCCAGCTACCATCCTTGGTTCATTTGACTCCCCATCTGTCAGTGAGTCTTTCTACCGGTCGTTCGGTAGTTTTACTGGGGTTTTACCGAAGGTATGGAGGATTCAGTGGTGTTCGCCTATTTGAGTGTCCATTTTCAGTTCCAGACACTCGACGGCAAACACCACTGTTCGGGAGCTAAAATGGCCGCGAACACGTGGAAGTCCCTAAATGGCGGCGGTGCACACCGTTCGTGCAGAACCTTTGTCGAACGTGCCCAGCAAGCAGGGAGGTAAGGTATTCATAATGGGCAACGGGGTGGTCTCGATTCTGTAGGTTTACCTACCGAATGCCATAGGGAAAGCTAACATAAAAGAAGGGAATACAAATTGTCATTTTAAAGCAAAAGAGGGGAATTTCTTCACAGAGGTCATTCTCCATTTTTTCTACGGGACTGGGACACATACTGATGGACTTTTATGCTTGGACCGGTGGCTTTCCGCCAGATACCGGATGATTGGGCATTTGACGGGTAGGTTTCTCCTGTAGACCCAACGTGCTAGGTATTCCGTCGCACTTTCAGCTTCATTATTTTTCTATTTCTTTCTCAGCGTTAAATATGCAAAATACGAAGCCTCCTGTCATGTTGTATAATTGAAGATTATGCTAGCTTTAGTGTACTAATGATCTTAATTTTAGTAATGACATGAAGTGAGTATTTTCCCTCCCTGCTTCTCTACCCACCCTTTCTGTTCGTTTTCTTTGTATGTACCATGGGTCTAAGGTAGGGTTGGCTCTCAATGTTTTGTGCTTACATTGATGATTGTATTTCCATTAATCTGGAATCCTCATTTGAGTTTTACATTATAGTTATTCAGTTATCAGATTGTAGTTTATAATATTCTTCTATGGGATGATGTATACGGTACATTACTTAGATTTACATGTTCATGACTATGTGCCTAAACCTGTCACACATTCTCTTTTCAGTCTGATTCGTCTCTGAAGACATTCGGTTGTTTGTGTGAAACTCTCTGGAATTTTGATCCTTGGGATTTGATTTGTCCCTGAACACATTTTGTTATTTGTGTTTAATTCACTGGGAAGTTTGCTCCTTCGGATGTTGGATTTAGGAGTTAATATTATTGCTTGTTATATGTTTACTTCTGCTTGATCTCGCTTTCTGAAAGAGGAAATGATGAGGTCACTATGCCTTATGTACATCCTACTCTCTTGTGATTGGTTCTTTTTTCTATATGTTTCTTTGCTGTTGTGTGGAGCTAGTAAAGAAAGACTATGCAAAATTCTCGCCTCCGGTCATTACTAAAATTAAGATTATTAGTATACTAAAGCTAGCATAATCTTCAATTATTAAGCATTAGGAGGCTAGTGCCTATGAACAGTGCTAATCAAGTTTAACTCTGTTATGGCAGAGGAAGCACCTCTAGTTGCTGTCTTAAATCCTCAATGTAAACATTGCCATTCCGAAATAACAGCAATGTTTTACATTGCAGGCTTGAACAGACAGGGGCACTGCATCCAGATTACTTCATTGTGCTAAGTGGTCTGGGTAGCCATAGTATCCTTTTAAAAATAAATCAAATAATTGAAGCTGCAATTGACCTTTGAATGCAAGATGCTTTGTAGTCGTGCTGCATATAGTGATGAGTGTTGGTTAACAGGAAAGATGCAAATAGTAGGCCAAGACAGCATGTTAGGGACACTTCTCCAAATGCAGTATATTTACAGTTTGAAAATGCAGTCAGTTCTGAATTCACTGTTTAGGTAAGAAACTTGTGATTTCATGGTTTATATGTAGTGTCCTGTCTTTGCCAGTTTACTTGTTGTAGATTATTTGTGTTGGCACTAGCTGCAGATTACAAATGATGATACTCACTAGTAAACAAATGTAAGTGTTTATCAATATAAAACTCAGATCAAGGAGCCGAATTCCATCCATGGGAGGGATCCTTCAGACCCTGCCTCAGATTCCCATAAAGGGAGAGGCTCTCACAGCATTCCTTCAGAAACAAAGGAAGAACTAAGCAATTAACCCCTCCATAACATATCACAAAGATGTATTATGTGTCCTTCCTGCAGGATGCAATCAGTGGACCTGTAACATTCTAATAACTGCAATTATTGAAAGACATGCTTTTATATATATATAATAATTCAATTTAAACCATAAAAGCTTGTTTTCCAATATACATTTCCAGTGCTTTATCTGATATATATATATATATATATATATATATATATATATATATATATCGCGAAACAGATGAAGCCCTGGAAATCTCAGCAGGATATATAATCCGAAATACTAGTATAAACAATTAAAAGTGTTCACCTCTGACTAGGTGACAGACTAACTGTAAATGTGATATGCCAACATGTAACTTTGCATTCTCAAAGAGAGAGAGACCACACACAGCACCTATTTGTATAAAGACTAGAGTAATTCTAGAAATCTAACTCTATAAAATAATATATACTATAGAATGATCTGTAAATCTTAGCACTGTGATGGGAAATGGTTAACGGAATTACTGTGGTTTGGTAATCTCTATATATACATGCTATCTGTAAAGTGTCATGGGCATAATAGTGGCACAAGTGTTCCCGTGCTAGCGCTACATCGCCAACCTGACTAGTGTACGCTCTCGATTGCCATTGTTACAAGCAATAGTCTCTTTCCACTCCTAGTGCCAGCTATGTGGATCCTGGCATCCCCATACACATGGATCTCTCTATAGCATCTTCCTTTACCTTATATAGCAGGGAGCAGATGAATTTCTCACTTCTAATATTAATAGCCAGGAGGAGCTCAGGGGAGCTGCCAAAAATAGCAGGGAGGAGAGAGACAGAAGAGGGCTGGGGAGGAGATGCAGAGACAGGGGAGGTGGGGTGTGAGATTAGAGACACCAGCACATTTTCTGGGTACAAGAGAGGACACTTGTGACAAAGTGTGTGGCTTTGTGCACCTGTAAAGTGGGACATAGACAAAGTGAAAGGTAAGTGACCCCTCTCCCAGAGTACTAACCTTAGTTCACCTTGTAGTGCAGGTGCCTTTGGAGACTCTATATACAATATGAGATTACATAGAAAGCACTGCTGAAGAATTGACAGCATTCCTCACAAGACTAATAGAACTGACTGTAGATGTGGTGACAAGGATATAATTTCAAGGTGCTTGTAAATAGATACACTTGTTTGTTTTCAAATTCACCCAGCAGATATCAGTGAGGTTATTCAATAAGATGGGAATTGTGGCACATTTACAATAAACTGCACATCTCGGCCAAAATTGGGAGAAACAAATACAACCATTCTTTTTTTCCCCCAGGTAAGCTGTTTCAGCCTAAAATTTGCAATTTCCTTGCCAATTTACATTTTAATTAATAAACCCATAAACAAGAGGTAATCACTGGCACCTGTTGGTATCAGAACTGTAAAACTGACAGGCAAACTTTTGACTTTCCTCCTGCAGCTTACTTTACCCCCATAACACTCAGGCACACTCTTGACTAAACATCAGCTGAGCTATAAACATTCAGTGTCAGATTATTGAAGGGCATTATTACACTGATAAAGGGTCAGGGGTCCCAAAACATTTGTATTTTGGCATGCACGTTTAATAAATATAGGTTTCACTAGTGGGCCTGATTAACTAAGCAGTGCCTTGTACTTTTGTTTGTGTTTTCTTAAAGATTATTGAGAGTGAACACTAATATAAATAAATATATTTATGTATGCACACATATTCCTCTACTCTTTATACAATTCTGATGTAGTATGTCACCGCCAGAATACTCTACAAAACACTAAAAAAAATCAAATTCTAAATCAGCATTACATTGTCCTATAGTTACACATGGTAAAGAGAAATTAAAGTAAATGAGAGGAAGTTAACCGTCTTTAAACATGTGTTGTGTCCTGCTATTATGGCATACTTAATTGTAAAATTGATTGCCAGGGAATTCAGTTTAAATGAATACAGTCTTATGTATAATGCATTTGCTGTATCTCATTCTGATAGCAGGCCTGGCTAACAAAGAGATTTGTTTTGAATAAACGTAGTAATAGAAAAGGATACATGGTTTGAATATGTGTCTAATGTAAATGCAAATAAAGGACTATTACACTGTAACAAGAAAGAAAACAGAAAGGGCATTTGTAACATTTAGTAATTGCTTGCTGTTACTACTTAACTCGAAAGGCAAACCAATCTTATGGCAATATAAGGTGGGGGAAAACATAGGCCTCAGACCGTAACCATAAGTATGACCTTTTAAGGGAGCATCAGTACAGCAGGCCTGTTCTGTAAATATTTGAAGCTCTCTTACACCTCATTTTTAAACTGTAAATTAGATGTTTGTTTGCTTGCTTGTCAGGTCAGCATATCCATGCTATGTGAAATAATGTCAACATAAAAACTGACAAAATTAAAAATACATTTCACATACTAAACCTATGTTATTGATTTTGTAAGGCTATGAGAAGACACAAGTGTACATAAAAAAAAAACATAAAAATTAATTTCACATACTAAACCTATGTTATTGATTTTGAAAGGCTAGGAGAAGACATAATTGTACCCCCTACTGGGCCGATCCGTTTAATTTAGTTAATGCAGTGTGGTTTGGTTTAGAAAAAAAATTAAAAGAGACTTAAGATGAATTTGAGGTTAATAAACATAAGACATATGATTCCATGGTTTGCAATCTTGTTTCTCTGTGGATAAAATAACTGAATGTTAATTACAAATTAATCAAAGCATTTCACCGGCAAATAGTTAAGTCATTATTTTAAAATATGCTTGGATTATCAAGACTTCACATGTGCCTGCTGTACTTTACATGGATCTGTTTAATAAGGTGTGTGTTAACAACTAGCAAACAATTTAGACACATTCTGCAACTTTTCAATTTTAGCCCATATATTCTGAGCCAAATGGTGTATTTACGAATTGAAAATCACATTGAAAATATAGACTAAAATAGCAGATTTGGAAAAACTTTCCAACTCACTTGTAAAACAATTTTTAAGTTTTAAAGTCTTTCTTTCTTTATTTTTTTTTAAATCAACTACCATTCAGTGTTTTGCTAATAAACTTTAAATGGAAAATATAGTGCCAGGAACACAAACTTATTTTTTTGGTACTATAGTTCCAAGAAAATAAGTTGCTTTGATACTAATTCTTCTTCCAATGTTGTGTGTAGTGGTTAACATTTTATATTGTAGCTAAGGATGATTGCTGTGTTCCACAATATCCAGGGACTTGAGCCTACACAGATAACATACATACAGACACAGCCATGCACATACGAATGTGCACACACTCATCTAGACACACAAATATATACAGGGCTGTTTTTACATGCTAGGTACCCCTTGTCCCCCTCCAAAATAAGGCAGATAAAGTAAGTATAATAAATGTATTAACTGGATATTGCAGACCTAAAACCACTAAAAATGTAATCACGTTTGACAGCTGCATATGTATAAATGTATGTATGTGCATATTTATGCTATGCTTGTAATGTACTGTGCTTGAATTTGTGAATATATTGAGTGTATGCAGTGTAAACGCATGTGGGGTTGAAATTAATGTTAGAAGTGGTTAGGGTGAAGGGGGGTTAAGGTTACTAAGGGGTTAACATTAGTGTTAGATTACATAGGGTGTTTATTATTCAGAAGATTAACAACTAGAGATGGTTTAAAGTTGTAGTATAAAGGCTGTTTAAGATTATTGAGTTTAGGGTTAGGGGTGGGTTAAATTTAGTGTTGGGGTACATGAGGTGTTTAGTTGTTTTTTTAAGACTAGTTAAAGGAACACTATAGGATCAGGTACACAAACAAGCATTGCTAACCCTATAGTGTTAGAACCACCATTTAGGTGGCTTGCCACCCCCCCTTAAAACTTACCTTATGTCCAGCGCCACGTGGGTCCGCCGGCATTGGCTCTGCCCGGTCCGCCTCCTTGCTGACATCAGACTGTATGATTTCAGCCAATCCAATGCTTGGCTGAAATTGGCAAGGAGGCAAGACGGGGGCCAGCCTGGTCAATCAGCGCCTCCTCATAGAGATGCATTGAATCAATGCATCTCTATGAGGAAAGTTCAGCATTTCCATGCAGACATAGAGACTATGAACGGCAGTGCTGCACACTCCTCAGATGGCCACTGGAGGTGTCCATAGAGGCAGCGTTTACATGAAAATCCCTGAAGTGACTGTTTATACTCATCAGAACAAGTACATTATGCTGTACTTGTTCTGGTGACTATAGTGCCCCTTTAAACATAGGATTAAGGTAAAGGATTTCTTCCGGTTTAGGCTATGAGTGCTGCAGTTTTAAGGATTATTTGCTAAGTACTCATCATCCTATGTTTTCTGTAGACGAGACAGATTGATATTAGAGCTGCAGGAGTGGTTATTGTAAAATATTCTATATTTTGGAAATGTTTTTGTATGCATCTCACACTGAGGTGTGGTTGATCTTAAGTGCCATGAACAGATGACAATTAGTGTTTCAAGCTCTTTTCTATTTTGATTGTCCATGGAACGACCTAACAGGGTTATTAGAATAGTGAAAAGGCATATTGTATCAATAGCATTGACTTAATGTAATGTGTATACAGCCATTTCAGTGGTATATATGATCAGGGCCGACGCTTCCTCTAGGCAAATTAGGCGGCCGCCTAGGACGGTGCCGGCCCTGACAAGTTACATTCTTTTGAGCATGCTGCCGGAAGCACTTACATTGTTGCTGACTAGCGCCCGGTTGAACACAGGTCCGGCAGCATACCGATCAACCCACTCAGCCATGACTCCCTCCCAGATATCCATTGCGGAGGAGGTGGCCGCAGCACGTGGGCACTTCATGGGGAAAAGTGGGCGGGAGCATAACATTAAATGTGCTGAAAAAGGACGTGATGGGCAGCCAGGCGCAGGCAACAAACAGCAGTGAAGGTAAGGTGTGTCAGAGAATGTGTGAATCTGCTTCAGTCAGTATGTTTGTGTATATCAGTCTGTATGGGTTAGTGTGTGTGTATGTCATGTGTATGTCTGTAGGTGTGGGTCATTGTGCGTGTCTGTATGGGCTTATGTGTGTTGTGTGTGTCTGTATTAGTCATTGTGTGTGTCTGCATGGGTCAGCGTTTCTATAGGTTTGTGTCTGAATGTTTGTGTCTGCATGGATCAGTGTGTGCATATGGGTCAGTGTGCATCCATATACATGGGTTAGTAAGTGTGTGTCACTTTGCATGGGTCAGTGTGTGTGTGTCTGCATGGGTCAGTGTGTCCGTATGGATCAGTGTGTGTATATGGGTCAGTGTACGTCAGTCTACATGGGTTAATGCGTGTGTCAGTGTGTATGTATGTGTGTGTCTGAATGGATCAGTGTGCGTCAGTCTACATGGGATAGTGCATGTGTGTCAGTGCGTCTATATGTGTGTGTCTGCATGGGTCAGTGTGTCTATATGTGTGTGTCTGAATGGATCAGTGTGCGTCAGTCTACATGGGTTAGTGCGTGTGTGTCAGTTTGCATGGGTCACTGTGTCTGCATGGGTCAGTGTGTCAGCATGGATCAATGTTTGTATATGGGTTAGTGTGCGTCAGTCTACATGGGTTAGTGCGTGTGTGTCAGTTTGCGTATGTCAGTTTGCATGGGTCGGTGTGTCTATATGTGTGTATGTCTGCATGGGTCAGTGTGTTAGCATGTGTGTTTCTGCATGGATCAATGTTTGTATATGGGTTAGTGTGCGTCAGTCTACATGGGTTAGTGCGTGTGTGTCAGTTTGCATGGGTCAGTGTGTCTATATGTGTGTGTGTGTGTCTGCATGGGTCAGTGTGTCAGCATGTGTGTTTCTGCATGGATCAGTGTGTGTATATGGGTCAGTGTGCGTGTGTCAGTTTGCATCGGTCAGTGTGTGTGTGTTAGTCTGCATAATAGGGTGGAGCAAATGGGGCGGCAAATTTGTTTTTGCCAAGGGTGGCAAAAATGCTTGCACCGGCCCTGTATATATGTAGAATGTATTATCTGTGTAAGAGAGTCTAGGAGAATGAGACATTAACACTGAGACACAGGACATCAAGGCAGAGTGTCTTCACACTCTGAATGTCCAGCGTGTACCATCAGCTGTTGACCTATTTAACATCAATGACATTGTAAGTACTGACTTTGTATTTGCGAAGCAAGAAGAATAAATCTCTTTTATAAGAAAATCCAAGAAAGTCTAATTGCATTATATACACAGAACTTATAATAATAATAAGAATTTACATACATATATATGAATGCTTATCAAGCAGAATAATTATTTTAAGAGTTCAAGTTTTCAGTTATACAGCATGTTTCAAATAAAACTTCCCCTGCTCCTCCTGCAAGGCATTTCCTGTGTGAGAGGTTAGTAGTGGGCAGATGGGAAGCAATCCCTCCCAGTTCCTATCCAGCCTCACACACAGATGATGGAGGAGCTGAGAAAATAGTGAGTTTTACACCATCTGTAACCGTTTCTGCAGGCCTGCTGTTAAAGGGATACTATAGGCATAAAAGAACTTTAGCTTAATGAAGCAGTTTGGTGTATAGATCAGGTCCCCATAGTTTCACTGCTCAATTTTCTGCCGTTTAGGAGTTAAATCACTTTTGATTCGGTTTATGTAGCTCTAGCCACACCTCCCTTTGCCGTGACTCTCACAGCCTACAAGAAACAAAAATGGTTTCATTTTCAACCAGATGTTAACTTGCTTTAGAAGTTTTTATCCCCTGCTCTGTAAATTGAACTTTAATCACACACAGGAGACGTCTGCAATGTCTAAAGGCTATCAACAGAACATGAGATGAGAAATTCTAGAATAAACAGACAGGAACAAACTGGTTCCAATTCAGGAAGTGTTTAGGAAGGCTGTGTAAGTCACATGCAGGGAGGTGCGACTTGGACTGCACAAAGTGATTTAACTCCTAAATCACAAAGACTTGAGCAATGAGGCTGCAGGATCATTTCCTATACACTAAACCTGCTTCATTAAGCTGAAGTTGTTTTTGTCCCTAAAGTGTTCCTTTAACGTCTTAAGGACACATGACATGTGTGACATGTCATGATTCCCTTTTATTACAGACGTTTGGTCCTTAAGGGGTTATGGCTGACTGGACTATAGGGGACACTGGCCAAGACTCCTGTTACTTATCGCTCCCCACCAGCCTATTTAAGCTGAAAGGGCCACATTATGAATGGTCTTGTGCCACTCTGCCTAATTTGGAATCAAACTCTGAATATATGCAACTGGTAGACACTAATGCACAGAGATAAATATGCATAAACACAAATATTCAAACTTTCAAAGACAGCACCCATTTGTTCTGCCTACCAACTTCCTTCAGAGGAATGTAACATTTCCAGACAGTTTAAGCTTTATGAATGGGGACTAGTGCTCAGCCTATCAGCGGAACACACTATGAGGCTTCCTATTTGAAGTTTTTGACCTCTAAGGCAAGTTGTTAAACAGAGCGAATGGGCACCAACATTCGTTAACAATTTACCCTTTAAAGGGTACCATATTCACTTCAGTGATTTGAAATGGTCATGGTGCCTGTGGCCTGCATATGCAGCATTTCCTCTTAATGGCAGGACCAGGTAATATGCAAAACAGTTTTTCCTATTAATTGGATACAAGACTAGGGTACCTCTGGCATCTTAACTACAACAGCAGGATGTAGTGGCTACAATGCTTGGAGGTAAAATGGCACCTCGGATCTCCTGAAATCATAACAACTTAATTGCTCAGAGTAGTCCTTTAACAAACACTCAGACGCAGCACAACAAAGATTCAGACATATTAATGCATGGCTACACAAATGCTTTTGTGCAGACAGACACACTGATGCACATAGAATCAAGCACAGATTTACAGTAACAGCCAGATACAAACAGATTCACGCATGCATTGACAAGTCTGTAAACTATTTAGTCAATGTATGTATCTATGCATGAATCTGTGTGCCTGAGTGTGATGTTGGTGCCTGGGGTGAGATGCAATCCTCTATGGCTAGAAAAAAAATTTTTGTTATTGAGGAGAAGAAATTCTCGGGCCCTTATAAATAAGAGGTTGTCCTGATTTGAGGGGGGCAAGATGAGCAGCTGCTATTTAATGTAGGAAGTGATTATTCTGTGGGAAGATGGGCTGTGGGTCAGGGGAGCATAGAGGAACCTACAATAGAGCAAATGAAAGTGATTAGGGTTGAAGATTAGGGTTGAAGAACCAATCATACAACTTGTAGACTCACATACAATGGTGCATATTCCAGAGATCCCATCTCTGGCATATCAGTATAACAAAAATAACAAAGTGCCTTGGTTCTGTGACTATATTCTACCACAAGTGGACTGGATATGTTTTAACCAAAACGGGTCTTTGAAAAGCCTTCAGATAGATAAAGGCCAGTTTTAGAACCATGTGTTGTGGACATTTTTTTTTTTTGTGTGTGTGCTATCAAGTGACTTTCTTGACAAGTAGTGAGGCTAAGTTACATAGCAAGAGGTGCTCAGTTGTACCCAGGCGCTGGTCTGATGGAGTGCCACAAGGTTGGTATTAGGACAGACAACTGCTAACTTTCTGACTGTGAAAATCAGACGCAAAGGGACCACTGGAAAGTTCTGACATCTCCTGAACACCCCATGATTAATTCCTGTATTCTTAGTACAAACCAAAAGGCTAGCCGTGTAAAGTCACAGTCAGTGACATCGCACAGCTGAGCTCTTCTGCAGCTTTGATGTCTCCACAGCTGCCTCAGTACCCCTGATGTCTCGCACCCACACAGCACCAGTGTCCCAAGGCTGGGGAGAGGAGAGCACAGGATATGCAGGGTAAGCTCAACTATGCTGAAGGAGAGGGTTATGGAGTATCAAAGAGGCAGGGTAACCGTGTGCAGAGTGATAGGAGTAGGGGCACAAATATAGGATTTGCCCAGTTTGCGTTATGACCATGCTATACCTCTGAGGGCAAACCTATAAAAGTAGATTCTGGTAAATGCTACATACAATGGGGTTTTGTTTGCCATAAAAGACATGTGCGTTACTGGAAGTGACTATTGCTAATCTACGGTCCTTAAGGTATCTGTGACTACACTGGCCCACAGCAATATATTCAACACTAAATCCCACATCGAGCAATGCCATTTGACATTTGAAACGGTTATTGTCGGAATAACCTATATATAGCGGTGTTTACTTAAAATCTTTTCTGCCAAGCTACTGTAAAGAGAGTATGTACAGTGAGGGAAAAAAGTATTTGACCCCCTGCTGATTTTGAACGTTTGACCACTGACAAAGAAATGATCAGTCTATAATTTTAATGGTAGGTGTCTTTTTACAGTAAGAGACAGAACAACAAAAAATCCAGAAAAACGCATGTCAAAAAAAGTTATGAATTGATTTGCATGTCAATGACTGAAATAAGTATTTGACCTCTTTGACTTAGTACTTAGTGGCAAAACCCTTGTTGGCAATCACAGAGGTCAGACGTTTCTTGTAGTTGGCCACCAGGTTTGCACACATCTCAGGAAGGATTTTTTTCCCACTCCTCTTTGCAGATCCTCTCCAGGACATCAAGCTTTCGAGGCAGACTTTTGGCAAGTAGAACCTTCAGCTCCCTCCACAGATTTTATATGGGATTATGGTCTGGGGACTGGCTAGGCCACTCCAGGATCTTAATGTGCTTCTTCTTCTTGAGCCACTCCTTTGTTGCCTTGGCTGTGTGTTTTGGGTCATTGTCATGCTGGAATACCCATCCAAGACCCATTTTCAATGGCGTGGCTGAGGGAAGGAGGTTCTCACCCAAGATTTGACGATACTTTGCCCCGTCCATTGTCCCTTTAATGTGGTGCAATTGCCAAAGAGCTTGATTTTGAACTCATCAGACCACAACACGTTTACCCAGTTCTCCTCTGAATCATTCAGATGTTCATTGGCAAACTTCAGACCGGCCTGTACATGTGCTTTTTTGAGCTAGGGGGCCTTGCATGCGCTACAGGATTTCAGTCCTTCACGGTGTAGTGTGTTACACTTTTTTCTTGGTGACTATGGTCCCAGTTACCTTCAGATCATTAACAAGATCCTCCTGTTTAGTTCTGGGCTGATTCCTCAACATTCTGATGATCATTGAAACTCCACGATGTGAGATCTTGCATGGAGCACCAGACCGAGGGAGACTGACAGTTATTTTGTGTTTCTTTCTTCCATTTGCGAATAATCACACCAACTGTTGTCACCTTCTCACTAAGTTGCTTGGCGATGGTCTTGTAGCCCATTCCAGCCTTGTGTAGGTCTACAATATTGTCCCTCACATACTCAGACAGCTCTTTGGTCTTGGCCACGGTGGAGAGTGCCCAGTGCCATAATCTAATTCCCTCTGCAGCAAAGTAATATCCAGCTCACATAGTTTTACCATAAGTAGTTTAGTGTCATCTGAAAACACAGACACACGACTAAGCTCAATGCTTATTTCAAAATCCATTAATAAATCTATTGAATAGAAGAGGTCCCAGAAGAGAACCTGAGGTACTGTAATGACAACTCCCTGTACTCTAACTTTAAGCCAATGTGCTACTGTAAGAGAGTGCCCCTAATCTTAGCTCGTTACCTGTATAAAAGACACCTGGGAGCCAGAAATCTTGCTGATTGATAGAGAATCAAATACTTATTTCACTCATTGACATGCAAATCAATTTATAACTTTTGTGACGTGTGTTTTTCTGGATTTTTTTTTGGGGGGGTTATTCTGTCTCTCACTGTTAAAATACACCTACCATTAACATCATAGACTCATCATTTCTTTGTCAGTGGACAAACGTTCAAAATCAGCAGGGTATCAAATACCTTTTTCCCTCACTGTATGCACTGTGGAAGGGAAGCATAAACGTGATATCTTGTCTATGTTCATCATTGTGTCCTCCACTACAGACATTTAGTTTGTATTTTAAGGCTATGAAAGAGACATATGGGAGTATTCCAATTTCAATCATAGTTACTGAGGATGAAAAAAGTCAAACAATACATCTCTATGAGAAAAGTTCTGCGGCACATTACAGAGTGTGGAGATGCTGAAGGTCAGTGCTGCACACCCAGTGAGTGACTGCCACCGGAGGTGTGCCTGGCAGCAATGTAAACACTTCCTTTTCTATGAAAAGGCAGTATTTACATGAAAATTTCTGTAGGCTATAGACACCAAAACCACTATATTACGCTGTAGTTGTTCTGGTGACTATAGTGTCCCATTAACAAAAATAAAGCCAAAACGGAGATAAGCCAGCTGTGAAAAACAGAGTACACCTTATGATTCACAGCTTGTAGAACCACCTTTATCAGAGATAGCTTGAAGTAATGATTTTCTCTATCACTATCAGTTTCTCACATCATTGTGGAGGAATATTGGCCCACTCTTCTTTACAACGTTGCTTCAGTTCATTGAGATTTGATGGGATTTGTTTATGTACAGCTCGCTTAAGGCCCAGCCACGGCATTTCAATTGGGTTGAGGTCTGTCCAAAACTTTGGTTTGTTCAGATGCAACTCCTGGCATCCCTTCCAAAGAAACCATACTTGTTCAGTTTCTTTTGTTTTATTGTACTGCCATGAACTTTAACATGCTAACTAAGGCCTGTAAAGTCTGAGATGTTTTCGCGGTGGGGTGGACTCCCATGGAGACCCCCCGCGGCAGATCCTCTTCCTCCGGTGCCCCCCGGCCATGTGAGAGTGGGGTCCTTGCGAGGACCCCACAATCACATGGCCGGGTAGGCTGCCTCCTGCATTGCCAGCAGGGGGGCTGCCTGTAATGACAGGTGGTCCCCCTGCTGGCTGAAAATAAAATTAAAATAAAATGTATTAGTGTAAAAAAAAAAAATATATATATACTTAGATCATATATATATATATATATATTAAAGGCAGTTAGATCATATATATGTATTATATATATGATCTAAGTATATATACACACATAAACATACACGCACGTACACCGTCTAGGTGTATTTTACTATTAATATATATATAATTATATATATATATTAATATTAAATTACACGTAGACTGATACTGATTAAATATATAATTATTGTTATATATATATTTATATATAATATAAAAAAATTAAATATGTAAATACGTTAAAAAATAAAATTTAAAAAATAATTAAAAAATATATAGATGTCTGTTATTTCGTTCTAACAGTATTGTGATATTAATATATATATATTTAAATCAAAATACATGTAGAACGAAATAATATATATATCTACATACTTACATATATACGTATATATCACTATATATATATATATATATACCTATATATAAATAAAAATATTTTTAAAAAATTATATAGATATACACATATAGATTCACATACGTATATATATACATATATTAATTCTACATATATATTTATGTAATATTTTTACATTATTAGGTATCTTAATTAATTACAATTAGAGGGACCTGCCTGACAACCCAATGCCGAAAGTAAAGGGAATTTAATTGGCTAGCACTATATTTAACCCTATAACTTTCCAAGACACCATAAAACCTGTACATGGGGGGTACTGTTCTACTCGGGAGACTTCGCTGAACACAAATATTAGTGTTTCAAAACAGTAAAATGTATTACAACGATGATATCGCCAGTAAAAGTGAAGTTTTTGCATTTTTCACGCACAAACAGCACTTACACGGACGATATTATTGCTGCGATACTTTTTACTGTTTTGAAACACAAATATTTGTATTCAGCGAAGTCTCCCGAGTACAACAGTACCCCTCATGTACAGGTTTTATGGTGTTTTCAAAAGTTACAGCGTCAAATATAAGGCTTGCGTTTCATTTTTTCACATTAAAATTCGCCAGATTGGTTACGGTGCCTTTGAGACCCTATGGTAGCCCGAGAATGAAAATTACCCCTATGATGGCATACCATTTGCAATAGTAGACAACCCAAGGTATTGCAAGTGGGTATGTCCAGTCTTTTTTAGTAGCCACTTAGTCACAAACACTGGCCAAAATTGGCTTTTTTTTGCATTTTTCACACAAACAAATACTAATGCTAACTTTGGCCAGTGCTTGTGACCAAATGGCTACTAAAAAAGACTGGACATACCCCATTTGCAATACCTTGGGTTGTCTACTATTGCAAATGGTATGCCATTATGGGTGTAAATTTCATTCCTGGACTACTATAAAGTCTCAAAGGCAACGTAACCGATCTGGCAAATTTCATTTTCAAATGTAACGTGCTATATTTGACCCTGTAACTTCCCAAAACGCCATAAAACCTGTACATAGGGGGTACTGTTTTACACGTGAGACTTTGCTGAATACAAATATGTGTATTTTATTGCAGTAAAAGCAAACAGTATTATGACATTGACCGTCAAAATGTCATGTAGAACTAAACAAATAAGGAAAAAAAATCGTATTTTCTCCCATTTTTTTCATATTAAATTATGTTTCATAGCTAAATATTTGATATTAAATGAAAGCCCCGTTTCCCCTGAATAAAATGATATATAATAAGGGTGGGTGCATTTAATATGAAAGAGGTGAATTACGGTTGGACAGACATGTAGCGCAAATGCCAGGTTTTGTTTACTTTTTGTTTCGTTCACAACGTGTACATTTGGCTCCGTCCTTAAGGGGTTAATCAAGGGCATTTAATAAGAAGCACCTGTCTGCTATGTAGTTGCTTAATTCTTATGGAAGCATTAAGGGTGTACTTAGTTTTTTCACATATGGCTTCTCTAGTTTGGCTTTATTTTGTTAAATCATGACATTGTGTAAAATGTCATGTATCGTTGTTAAAATTAAGTAAATACAACCTCAGATGAAGACCTACTACAGAACAGATTATTGTTATGTCCGGATATGTAAAGTTACAGAAATCAAAGAGAGTGTACTTTCTTTCTCCTATGACTTTATACAGATTCTAATAAAACCAATTTTTCAGGCAGGGAATTCCATATCTATATTAAACTTACCATAGAAAAATCTTGTCTTTGCCTTAGACGAAATCTTTTTTTTATTCCAGTCTAAATGCGTGACCTTGTGTCCTACGTATAGTCCTGTTTATGAATAGATTTCATGACAATGGTTTGTATTGGCCCTGAATATATTAGCATAAAGTGATCATATCCCCTCTGTTGTGCTGTTTTTCTAATCTAAACATATTTAAATTGTTAACCTTTCTTCATCACTAAAAACTCCTTCACTAAAAGTAGCCTGCCTTTGCATTTTTTCTTGTGCCATAATATCCTTATTTAGAATAGGTGGCCAAAATTACATCACATATTCAATGTGTAGTCTTACGATTATTCTCTATAAGGAATGCCCCTTTTTATGCATGACAATAGCTTACGTTCCTTAACAACTGCTGATTAACACTAGACATGGTTGCCTATAACATAGTTACATATTTATATAGGCAGGGGTTGGGGGGGACTTGGGTGCACCAATAACAATTCCTTCTCATGTGTTGCTTTACTTGTGCATTCTTCACCCTTAAGTGGATAAATTTGCATTTATCTAGAATAAATTTAATCTATCAATTGAGTGCCCAGTGCCATAATCTAATTCCCTCTGCAGCAGAGTAATATCCAGCTCACATAGTTTTACCATAAGTAGTTTAGTGTCATCTGAAAACACAGACACATGACTTTCAATGCTTATTTCAAAATTCATTAATAAATCTATTGAATAGAAGAGGTCCCAGAAGAGAACCCTGAGGTGCTGTAATGACAACTCCCTGTACTCTAACTTTAAGCCAATCTGCTACACAGTGACTTTTATTTAGACCAATTTCTTTTCACTTGAACCTATTGTGGGGAATCATATCGATTACCTGGACAAAATCCAAGTAGATTACATAAACAGCAAGCCCTTACTTCTACAGCAACTACTTACTTCATTGGAAAATGTAATTATGTTAGTCTCACAACATAACTGGATCTTTAAACATACTACCCATTAATAACACTCATGCATTCTTTGGTGCAATTTGCATGTGGTAAACAAGTAGTTTTAAATAGTTCTAATACAAGCTGCCATGAAACACCCTTAACTGAGAGACGTGTATATAAGCATGAGTTCTCAGCATACAACTGAAACAAGGACTAGTCTCATAGAAACTGGTTAAAGTATGAAGGGACTTGTCCCATGTACATATGCATGATACCCTGGAGGTTTAAATTCTCATTCTGGAAGATCACTTTCAGATTTATAAACACAATCACTTAAACAGCAAGCAACACATTTTCATGTTTTTCAGAAATAAAACAAAATCTCTGCTTTTCTAGCTGTAAACTACTAGTGAGTTTCATTTGCAATAAATAGAGACATTTACTCACCAATCTTACTCATAATTAAAATCTTCATGCATTACCCCTGGTCCATTATTTAGGGATTACCCAGTTATGATCCAATACAGATATTAGTGAACCCTAGACAGTTAGTGATGCTTGGTGATTGGTGTTAATTCTCAACATATAACGCATTGATGCAAAAATTCAGGATTTAAAGAGTAAACAATTATTTTTAAACAATCATTCCTATAAAGTCAGAACTAATAGCGGTCCTTGAATACGGATGTAAGAAAAAGATGAATGCTACAGGACCTCCTAGGGAATGATGGGCAACAAATCACCTTTATGGTATTGCTAGTCATTCATAGATTAAATTAATTCCAACACTCACAGGGCTTTTCACAAAATAGCCAAACATGAAAACATTTTCTAAGATAGGTATACTTTCAGTTCAGCTACTTTAGCCTTAAATTTGAAATTCTCTTTGAATACTCACTTTAGTGAATAATCCAGTAGGAAACCAAATTTAATTAACAATTAAAATGACTCATGGATAATTTATAATAAGCTAAAATGTCTTTACTAGGTTCCCACATAGTAGACCATCATCCATTGTATGAACCCAACACAATTGTTTAATTTCCTCTTACATAATACATAAGAAAGAAATTGCAGAGTTAAAAGTATGTTAAAACCTTGCATTCATGTCCCCATTTATACATGGCAATCCCATTGTCTACTCTAATTCAATTAAGTTACTGGAGAGTGTTCATCAGACATAGTTACACTGAATTCTAAACAGCCAACACTTATGTATATGTTTTGCATACTAATTTTGAATACTAATCACAATCCCTTGAGTGTCACTGCCCTAAAAAAACAATGAATCATTTCAACAAAACAATCAACAGCTTCCCAAACCAGACACATGCTGACATTAAACATATTACAATTGCTAGTCTATTTACTAAGACTGCTTTACTTGGCACCCAGGCAGAAATTAGTACTCCTACCAGAAAGCATGTTCCCCACTTGAGTTTAGCATACAAGTAGCATCCTAACTGAAGACAATGCTGACTCAGCCCAGATGTGCTAAACTGCTAGTTGGTTTATAAGCAAATTATTATTATTTATAAAGGGCCAACAAGTTCTGTAGTGCTGTACAATGGGTGGATGAACAGACAAGTATTTGTAACCAGACGAGTTGGACACAGAGGGCCCTGCTCAATGAGCTTACATGCTAGAGGGAGTGGGGTAATGTGACACAAAAGGTAGGGGTAAGGTAGAAAGTAGGTTGCTAGAATATGGATCATTGAGGGCCTAATGTTTTGTTTTGATGACAGTTTCAGGAGAGGAATCAGGGTGCGGGGAGAAGCTGTTCACAGTTTAATTGATATGCTTTACTAAAGAAGTACGTTTTCAAAGGTTTATTTGAAGGAGTGGAGATTGCGTGAAAGTCTAACAGAGATGGGAAGGGCGTTCCATAGGAATGCTGCAGCCCTAGAGAAGTCTTTAACCCATTAAGGACACAAGACATGTGTGACACATGACATTACAGAAGTTTGGTCCTTAAGGGGTTAAGGTGAGCATCAGAGGTAGGAGTATGAATGGAGGATAGGCGTAGGTTTCCGGCAGAGCGTAGGGGCCTAGACCGGGAAATATTTGTGTAATAGTGAGGAAAAGTAGGTCAGAGCAGCATTGTGTAGAGATTTGTAAGCAAGTATCAGGATCTTAAATTGAGACGTATATCTTACGGGAAGCCAATGTAGGGACTGTCAAAGTGGAGGAGGTGTGAGAGGTGCGGGTGGACAGGAAGCTTCGCCGCTGCATCCATTATACACTGTAACAGGGCAAGTTGGGAACAAGTAAGACCACTGAGAAGCGGATTGCAGTAGTCAAGGCGAGAGAGGACAGTGGCATGGACCAGCACCTTAGCCACATCTGGCGTTAAATCGGGTCGGATGTGCGCAATATTTTTTAAATGAAAGCTGCAGGATTTGGTGATTGATTGGACATGAGAGGTGAAGGAGAGGTCGGAGTCAAAGACAACACCGAGGCTCGAGCCTTAGAGGTAGAGAAGATGGTAGCGCCATCGATATGGAGGGACACAGACAAGGGAGTAGCAACACTTGATGGAGGAAAGACCAGAAGTTCTGTTTTGGACAGGTTCAGTTTAAGGAAATGAGCAGCCATCCAGTTGTAAATATCAGAGAGGCAGTCAAAGACATGAGTCAAGAGGGGTGGTGAGAAATCAGGGGAGGACAGATAAATTTGCATGTCACCAGGAGAGAGCGGTATCTCGTAGACAGAGATTACGGAGGATGAGAAGAAGCTGTTGATGATTAACAGTGTCAAAAGCAGCAGAAAGGTGGAGGAGAATTAGGAGAGGGTAGTGGCCATGGGATTTTGCAGTGATAAGATCAGCTGTTTCAACAGAGTGACGAGTGCGGATTCCAGATTGAAGCGGGTCAAGCAGAGAGTTGGATTCGAGTAAGTCTGTCAATCTCGCATACACAACTCTCTCAAGGATCTAGGAGACAAACGGCACTAGCGAGATAGGGCAGTTGTTGGACGGGGAATTCGGGTCAAGGTTGGGCTTTGTCAGAATCGGGGTTACGGTTGCCTGTTTGAAGGGTAGAGGAAATGTGCTAGAGAAATTTTAGTGAGAGGCAGAGCAAGAGAAGGAGACAAAGTGCGGGTAAGATACGAGGGAATAGGATCGAGGGAACAGCTGAAGGTGGACTAAGTGCTGTTCTGATTTGAAGCAGGGACGTTTAAATTCAGACTGTACTTAATCTTTCACAACATATTTCAGTGGCTTCCAAGCAGGAAATACACAAAGTAATCCAAGAAGATTTTGCTCGTTCTTGACAACTTACAACTTATACTTGTATTTGATTTCAAAGTGCTATCTAGTAGGGTTGTGAACAAATTAAGATCCTTATAATCTAGGTAAACGAATTGATCCGTGCAAATCCAAGGGTAAATGCTGGCCAGATCAGTTAATTCGGGCATAGATTAAAAGGAAATTGATTAATTCTAACAAGTTTGTGCACTACTATTTAGTGAGAAGTAATGACAATTCTAAATATTTAATGAGTAGTAAAATAAAATATCTGTGTGTCTGGGTGCAGTTTACTAAAATATTAATTTAACAGCAACAAGTTAATCGCACAATTTTAAATATTTAACAAGAATATTATTGCGAATCTTGATAATATGTATTAATATACAGGTGTGAAGTTTGTTTCCTTTCAGGATGTTGGTTAACTCTGGAATGGATAACTGGTGAACCTGTGGAGACACCCATATTCTGCCTCTAGAGCACATACTTCTTTATATGCCCATATTGAATCACGTGGCTATGGAATGTTAAGAAGTATGTAATTTGAGGGTGGGTTCTCAGCTGGAGAAGAATGGCTGGATACTCAACTACTGCTAAAGGGAAACACTGCGAAATGGTGGGCTAAAGGATGAACCTGTGAAGCAATGGCATGAAAGCATGATCAGCAATACACATCAACAGAAATCAGTCACCAGTGCTTCTCGCAGGCAAGCGTTAAATCCTTCACCAGAAGGTGTCTATAAGAACTAACTATCGATATCACTGTTATAAAAGACTAAGCAAACAGTGTTCAGTATAAATTACTAGATAGCGCAATGAATACATTTGTTTACCTATAATGAACATAACAGGTTGCATAGTTAAAGGAACAATGTAAGCACCATAACCACTACAGCTTACTGTATGGCTTTGGTGACAGGAGTGCCCTGGCACTACACCCATAGTAAGCAGTCATATCATTTTAGAATGGATGACAAAATGAGTCCTGCTGGCCATGTGGCTATTGCATGAAAAACCTGGATACAGCATGGGGACTAAGTTGTCAAATCATACTTGAACGATTTGACTGCTTACAGTGCGACAACACCAAGACACAACTGGCACCATAACCACTACATCAGGCTTGGAGAGAGACTTTTTTCTAGGAAACCTATTTATAACAGGCCAAGGAGTGTTAATTTCACTTCAGTGGTTTGACTTTTTTTGAACATCAGGCTTTCTTTCAAAATATTTTATGCACACACAATATATATTTATTACAAAGAACCTGAGAACAAAAGATGAACTGCCTGGCTGCAGCTGGTGAAAAGGAACCACATCAACCCTGCACAGGATTTGGTCCCCTTCAACCAGCCGCAACTGGGTAGGCTAAGGCCTGCTTGAATACCTTGACAATCACATGCAATATTCTGTATACAGCAGACAATGGATATTTAAAAAATATATGCCTCTTGTAAAGGAGTGGGGGGGGGGCGGATAGGTTATTTTCTAAACCCAAAAAAAGCACTCTACTGACAAATTAGTAACTTGTCGCTATTCATATATTGTTTGGTTTGTTTGTCAATTTGATACTGAATACCCATAGAGGTGTGCAACAATTTCTACAGATACATTTAAAAAAAAAAAAAATATATATAAATTGAGATGAACTACAGAATTACACACACATCTACAGAAACTGGCCATTCGTCTTGAATCAAATCGACAGTAACTGTGACAGGCACCGTCTAAATAAATCAATATTTCAGCCTTTTGTATGTATATTCATCATTCTTGTTTGAGAGTACAGATCTAGGTGTGCATCATGTTTAGAACCTTTTTAGTTTCTTGAGGAATGTTCTTGAAATGCATGTAAAACCAAATATAGTCTGGTTATAATGAAACCATGTTTTCTGCAACCATTAACAAATGTGTTTTCGCACATGTATTTTACCTAAACGCACATTTAAAAAAAACAACAAATAACGTATTCCTTATACAGACAGTTACAATAGTATTCAAATTCACAGTCCCTTAAAACAATGAGCCCAAACAAAGAATACAGTTTACTGGTCCCTTATCTAAAAGGAAAAAAATGCAACTGCAGAATTCAGTCCAAAATTAGAGCCATGATAGCTTTCTAAATCAAGTGATAAACAAGTGCTAATGTCACAGATCTGCCAATTCCTTGAGAGTAACCAGAATACAAACTCAGATGGCTGAGCAATTTAATCTTCTTAGTTTATGGGCTTGACTTGTACCAATACACCATGTTTCATCCCAATCATGGAGTTCCTGGTGTTGAATGACAAGCATTACAGTCATAGGATATTTATACCATTCAAAATGTTAAGAATTGCATGTAAATGAGTATCTCTTTGTTAGGTTTTCTTTAAAGGAGCACTATAGAGTCAGGAACACAAACATGTATTCCTGACCCTATAGGGTTAAAACCACCATCTAGCCACCCTGGTCCCCCCATGCCTCCCTAAATATAGTAAAATCTTACTTATATTTAAGTCTGGAGCTGTTTGCTTTGTCCCTGTTTCATTTTGACCTGCCCACTGCCTGCTGACATCATCAGAAGTGGTAGCCTGATCCAATCACAATGCTTCCCAATAGGATTGGCTGAGACTGTCAAGGAGGCAGATCAGGGGCAGAGCCAGCACAAATCAAACACAGTCCTGGCCAATCAGAATCCCCTCATAGAGATTAATTGAATCAATGAATCTCTATGAGGAAAGTTCAGTGTCTGCATGCAGAGGGAGGAGATACCGAATGTTTGGATGCATTTTAGGCAGCCATGACCCAGGAAGGATCTCTAACAGCTATCTAAGGAGTGGCCAGTGAAGTTATCACTAGGCTGTAATGTAAACACTGCATTTTCTCTGAAAAGACAGTGTTTACAGCAAAAAGCCTGATTCTATTAACCAGAACAAGTTCAATAAGCTGTAGTTGTTCTGGTGACTATAGTGTCCCTTTAATGCTATATTCTCTTCAGTTGGATAGAGTTAGGGTTTGCTGCAAATTAGACTGGAAAGCAGCTGAAAAATGTAGACATTTCCGTACTTATGGATTAATCAATATACTACACATCTTTTTGTATCCATCTGGTAACAGCTCGTTACATGAGGAACAGGGTAAAATGTTTTGTTTGGCCACCGCTTTGTCTGTCTACATTGGTTTCTAACTACGTTCTGAAGGATTAGGGGGAAAAAAGTATATACAATTCCTAAAAGTAAGTGAGTGGGCATGTTAAGTCATGTGATGCCATAAAATGTAACCCATGCTGGTACCTTTACTGTATGATGGTCTATGCCGTCAAATGGCGTTAAAGCCCTGCACGACAGCAGTGTCAGTCATGTGGTCCATAAGTGGTTAAGTATATAAACTTTCATAACTTAAGTGTCATAACATGTTGGAGGGCCAGTGAAAGTACAGAAACCACGTTCTGAACAAGCACCCTGCTGCCAGAAGCTGTGGTTTAAATTATGGTATTACAGATTCAAATTTGATAGCAAACGCCCAGATCACTTTGTGCAACGCAATCTGCAGTGGTACACAAATTCACCCAGATGTACGTTCTACTAAAGAGACCAATCTTCACCATTTCCTGCACCCAGCAAGAATTAATGGAACTTATAGGTGCCTTGTGAACATAATGGAGTCCTACGGGAGCATGAGCTCCCCTCACAACAATCATAATAAACAGACCACCTGCTCTGCCAAGCACAGGCAAAAAACTAGGGAAGTGAAGGTAAGGATAAGTTTCAAATGATAATGGAGAGGAGGACAGGCACTAGAAGGACTTCCTGGACAAGGACCTGAAATGGACGTGAATGCTCCAAATAAAGAAGCAATGAATCTTTAATCTTTATGATAAGATTCTGATTGGCGCATGCAGGATGCAGAATATTGCTAACCCAGGCAGCTCAATAGTTAGCAGAACACAATAGCATTAGGAATATATGTTTGTATTCCTAACTCTAACATTCCTTTAATGCAAAAGAGAAAAAAAAAAGTTAAGAATACATTATGGTGCCTATTTCTCTGTCTAATTTCATGCTATTAACTTAATTGCTCCAAATGGCATGACTGGGGAGACACAGGAACACAATTTGTTGTAATCTTCATGAAGAATAACCATAATTTATAGCTGATATAGTTACACATCAAACTCAATCAGTATGAAAAGGTGTTCCAGGAAGATTAAATTATATCATGTTATCACATAACAAGAGTAACTTTTAGGCAATTCAGCCTCAATGCAAGAAACAGATCATGGGCCTACTCATCTGACAGTAACCAACTAATAGCAAGAAAAAATTGGGACGGACACACACGCACACAACAGTAAACAATTAATAAAGTAATGCAGCTTTAGAGGTGTGGCATGACTGAATTCTGAGCTCCTCAGCAGTTACTGAAAAATACACACCTGCCAGCAGATAAACTATCTTAGCCTTCATTTACTGCTCCTCAAGTACAGCTCCTGATCAACTATGCAAATTCCTAGAAAAACAATGAGAAAAGCACCAGATGTGTCGTATGTGATGGCCAACACGTGCCACGAGTTACGGTCAATAATATTGCTCATTAAAAAAAAAAATAGAGCACATCTCTCAAAAAGTAAACGCTGCAGGGCGGGGGCTTGACTGCCGACCAGGATGGCCGCATGGCTCTGTAGCTCCTCTGGGAAATCTATATTTTAAAGCCTCAAATTGAACTTTGGTGCTCACTTTGCCGGCTAAATCTTGCAGTCATACTGGAGGAACAACCTACCTACCACTTATTGATACTGCCCAGCCTGGAATCCGTAAGTAAACATGGCCTATGTTGGATCTTCCTGCTGCTTCAGTCGAGGACAGGGAGACGGCCGATCCTCAGCCTTAACTCGGAAATTGCGGCTCCGGAGCTCTGTCCCCTCCCTCCCCCAGAACCCCATCTGGGCCAGTGAGGGGGGGAGGGAGAGGGGGCGTATCCAAGCCTACCACTGGTGCACTGCTATGGTCACCCTGATAAAATCTCCAGCTGTCCAGCGATTTGGGAAGATCGGGCCTAATACTCAAAAAATGGCCGTTCCGATGGGACTGAAAGCAAAAGGTGCCTTACCCCTATATGCAAACGTGGACCGGCTACTCCTGACCTTCGATCACATCTGTGAGAGATATACATTTAGCAAACAGCATCTTACTGCTTCATCTCCACTCACTCTTGCTTAGATTTCTCTCCTTTTAGCCATCTCTAATTGTGACAACCTACATAACCTGCCCCCTTTTTTCGTTCAGGCTAATCTTTATTCAACCATGTCTGTTTCAATGTTACATATGTATTTATGGAGTCTATTTGAGCAGCTGCAAGATTTGCTATCCTAAGCGTTCAAAGGACAGATACATTCTAGATACATTGTATCTTATCCTCCCTTTTAGTGCCACCCTGTATGTTCAATGCCAATTGACATAGAGCAAGCTGAGCTACTATCAGATAGGGATGGTATTTACTTCTATTAACCGATATAGATAATTACTTTAGTGATAAGGATGGTAATCACTCACCCATTTTGTTTATCACTTTAGAGATTGATTTTTTTTTTTTTTATTATTATCTGTGACATCTCTCTTTTTAGTGTGACTGATTCGATCGCATCCTAGCTCATTGAGCTGGTATATAATTTTTTTTTTGTATGTTTATATGTTGTGATATCTTTTTCTTATATTTAATTATAAAAAGTCAAGTTTTATACATGTACAGTATAGTAAATTGCTTTCTGTTATTGTTATCCCTCTAATCTATGTTTGGGGAAATTTCCCCGAACATATAAAAATGCACCAGAGCAGGGAATCCATCTAATCTATGTTGGGGGAACGTTCCCCGAACATAGATTTGAGAGATTCCCTGCTCTGCTGCACTTGTCTATGTTCAGAGAAATTTTCCTGAACATAGACCTCACTTACCGACCAATTCGTTTTACGACCGGGTCGTAAGAATGGAACCCAGTCAGTAAAGGAGCAGTGTCTGTATTTCTATTTTATCTAACCAATGTTTCAATGGCCGCTGTTATACTTAAAGGGACACTAAAAAGTCATCAGAACAACTACAGCTTAATGTAGTTGTTCTGGTGTGTATAGGATGTCTGTGCAGGCATTTTAATGTAAACACTGCCTTTTCAGAGAAAATGCTGCACATTGTTTCCACAGTGCATGGGGGTGCTGAACGTTCCTCATATAGATGCATTGATTCAATGCATTTCTATAAGGAGATCCTGATTGGCGCAGGGCTGCGTTTTGCTGCGCATGCGCAACAGCCTCCCACAGCTTTCCTATGGAAAATAATTGGATTGTCTAGGACCCTTAAAACTTGATCTCAGCAAAAAACGCAGATGGTGGGGAGGGCCAGCTGTGAGAACACCCACATGGCGCTGGAAAAAGGTAACTAAACTACCTTTTTCACTTAAGTTTGGCCAGTCACCTAAACAGTGTTTTTTACATCTATAGTGTCAGAAATGCAAGTTTGTATCCCTGTCACTAGTGTTACTTTAATTTTAAATATCACATTTTTATTCATCCAACTACAGGTCAGGAGCTATCTCCCTATTGTTGAAAAAGTTTGACAGAACATTTGTATATGTCACCGAACATCCTTCAGTGTGCACGGGGACTGATAGGAGTCCACTGACTTTAACCCATTAAAGACCAAACTTCTGGAATAAAAGGGAATCATGACAGGTCACACGTCATGTGTCCTTAATTGGTTAAAGGTTTCCCCCGGGAATAATGCTGCAGCTACGCAAGTCGCACAAGGTCAGTCGAGACCGGTCAACTCACACTCAACACAAGAATACAGTTTTCAATGCACACTAACCTTCTGCTTAAGGGGTTATGACTCACAATGGATTCACTTATAATCCATCCATTGTAGGCAGAGTGGCTTGGCTACACACCCAAGGGGACTGATTGTATGTTCTTACCTGATGTACATATTAAAAGGTTTTACTTTCTTGCGGTTTAAAAAGTTGAAGGTTCTAGAAATCAGTTTAGGTCACATAATGGGATATATGCACGTAAAGAGGGACAAATCAACATCACCTACTGTCACACTGCCCTAGACAATACACATGGCCTCATACAAGTCAATCTTCCCAAATGATAACTTGGGAGTTTGTTTACTCATAAACATTGGACTAATGGAACTCACGGGAGGTATCACCACAGAAATTCCATTACACCCAAAAGTTAACACAAAAACACTGTATAAATTAACAGTCACCCGGGATAATCTGCAACCTGCTAATTTTTTGGAATATTCAGGGTAATGTCATCAACGATCACAGGTGGATTCTTCTCAGGCCAACATGGAAACCAGTCATCCTAAGGGCTTGGCTAAGTACGGAGGGCGCTAGTTCCTATTGCTTACTTGGTCTTGGCCAATTGACCCACATGAGTTTCATCATGCTAAGGCTATTGTTTGAATACTTTATGATTTGATTTGCATGGTAAATGGCAGGTCACCCCCTCATCTGTGTCTTGGGCCTGGACTCTTCAGATGCAGATGGGAGAGGACACCACCAACCTATGGAGGTTGCAGCACCCTGATGTCATTGATTACACCTTTTTCTTTACATCACATCAAACATTCACGTGTAGATCTCTTCCTCGAGGGTACGTTCCAAGTGGTGAAAAACTGACCACCACATGGTTCGACAATGCCAACGTGTGTACGGCATACCCTAGGACGTGAAAGCTAAATTCATCACTACTTAAAAATTCAGAGATTACAGAGGAAACAGGCTTGGTCATTAGACACTATTCAAGATAATGTCACTCCTGACCTGACACCTTTGACGATATGGTTGTCCCATAAGAGTCTTGAGGAGTATTAAAGTAGCCACCAAGAAATAATAATTGACACCATACTCACACGAGCCATTAGTCCTCATTAAGGCACAAAGTCCTCATTAAGGCACAAAGCCCATAAAAGTTGAGGGAGAGGATATGGTCACATCTTGGCAAGAAACCAATGAAACATGCATTTTTCACAGCCACCTATACCATTCACACAACCACAAACACACAGTACTTCCAGGATTGGTGAAATAAAATGGTGTATAAAGAATATCACCCCTAAGTACCTATTTGTTTAAATATATGTCTTTTTATAAACTTTGGAAAATGATGCAAGAGTCTTGCTAAATCTTGTTATGCACACCGTTTCAGTTGTGGCACTGTACGCACAATTGTATTCACATACATCACCAAAAAAAAAAAAAAGTAAAAAATGTATAGCACAAATTCCTGTATCACTTACAAACTCTGGATCTTCCTGTCATAAACAAGAGGTGCATGGACACAAAGAGGGTCTGGGGAATGGGCAAAAGAGACAGATAGAGGCTTTAACTAAACCCATTGGATTTTAATTGTGTTGAGTAAAAGCTATCGAGATTTTGTCGACTTAAACAATTCAGATGACTAAAATACGACAAATTAAAATGCCTTTAATCAAAAGACTGACAAAAACTAAATTGAAATTTGCCATCAAAATTAGCATTGCTATACATACACCTCTGCACCCATACAACCGAATAGGGCCACCTTGGATATGCAGAGTTATGGGTAACAAGACCTGGATGGGGGACTGGCGGGGGCGGAGTAGGAGGAGAAGCAAACCCCAAATCCTTAATGTGCGTCACTTTGCTGAAATAGTTATTTAAAACCTTATTCCGTTGGTACGCCACTCCAGTTAAATTATACTGCGTTGAGAAAAAACGAGTATGTGCGCAATCTTGGCTAAAAGCAGAGTCCCCCTCTTTTTAGGTAGTAAAACAAAAATCAGAATACTTTTTGATGGTCAAGCTGAGGGCACACATGCAAAACTCACACATTCCAGAAAACATTGGCTTTAAAGGAAGAAAGAATAGGGAAGCCCAGGAGGTCAGGAATGAAATTCATATCCCTTTCCCGGTGGTGGTGACCCTCTCTCTCTGGCCCCTTCTTTTGGTTTCCTCCTCTCCAATGCCCCTAGACCCCAACTTCCTTCTTATCCCTTCTCTCACCATTCCCCCCCGGCACCTTCCCTCACACAAGATACCAACTGTGCATAGCATGGGGAATATAAAGAGGCATATCCTCAAAAGCACAAGATTGGAAACAAATCTCGAAGGGTCACAAACTATCTGAAGCAGTTGGCGAATTTATTTATAGCTCACAACACATAGATGTTAAACCTTGTTTGTCTTTCCAGTAACGTGTGTAACAGTACTACAAAGCACAAGGCTCCAAGTTCCCTATGGTGTGCTATCTAACTATACCTCCTTGACCCAGATGGCTCATAAGTTTATTCCTTATGTTATTGCTGTTTTGGGGCACATGCCCCTGTTGTAACCAAAAATCTGCTGCTATATCACTCGTCTTATGCTACAGAAACTAATTGTATATGCAGCAAGAATAAAAAAAAATAAAAATAAAAAATGATATGCAGCTTTAACCCCTTAAGGACACATGACATGTGTGACATGTCATGATTCCCTTTTATTCCAGAAGTTTGGTCCTTAAGGGGTTAAGATCATCATGACAACTATCAGATTTATAATAAACTGATTAGGGCCTTCAGAAAACTGAAGGTAGCAGTCCCATTTAACACAATTTACAAATAAGATACATTTTTGAAAAAGGATAAGGTTCACACCTTATTGAATATAATGTTAGTCATTTTTGGGACTTTGATTAAGTACTCTGACAAACAACTAAATTCAAAATGAAATATTTATTAAAGATTTATGTAGTTACACAAATATACCTTTGTATGAATAAACATGGAACAGTGGGATATTTGAACTCCTTCTGCTGTTGGCACCACATCTAGTAAAGTGTGTGAAGAGTCTTATTTTAGCAAAAGAGTGCACAAGTCACAATTTCATGGAACGGATTATATACCTCTCTGTGGTTGGGACAAAGATAAACTCAAAAAAATATTTTTAAAAAATTAAAAATGGATTATACCATGGATCTACTGGCCGCAACTGAAGAACTGGTACAGCTTTTTCTGTATTCCAAGGCATATGACTAAGCGACATATCCAAAAGAATCACCATACTTTAAGGTGTTACAATCCTACAGTGTACAGATATGAATTTTCCTGGGGTCCACATTACCATAAAGTTCGAATTCCATGAAGGATTGGGAGAAAAAAAAAAAAACATTCAAAAGAAGCAGACAAGAAAACACAAGTTCTGTATTTAGTTGTTAGAGTTCCATTGCAAAGGAAAAAAAAAACCCCACTACATTTACTTTCGTTAATAGAATGCTACTATATAAATTAAACAACAAAAGTAAAAACATGAACACAAACTAGGCAACCCCTTACACTTGACTGGCTGGAGGAGCTCTGCTGTTCACATTTGTACTTCCTGTAGCCACAGGCATTGCTGAAAGATTCACAATTTCAGCATAGCCCCTACAGTATGTTCTAGCACCATGTCAAATATCAAGTTGTTTAATACATTTGGTTGTCACTATCCAAAGTAATAATTTTTTACGCACTTGCCATACTAAATTGGTGGCCGGAAGAGCAGAAATAATGACCGAACAGAAAGCATAAATGTGCATTTAATTAACGATATCAGGATGTTGAAAAACAAAGCAAAGCTATAAAGTTGAGAAAGTGGTCTACAAATATTTGGTTGGGAACAATAGTGGAGAAAAATAAAAATAAAGTGGTTTGGTATTTCCAGTGGCGTAAGGTGACCATGACTACCACTGAAAACTTCTACAACACAAGATATGAAAAAGAAAAAAAACAATTAAGTTACTAAATCAAAAAAAATAAGTAGAGGCATTCTTCTGTCCTTACACTGATCTATTTGGATTATCAGTCCATGCACACTGTTAATTAAAAAAAAACAGAGTGGCCAACCCTTCTTGAATATATGAGAGAAACTTGCTTTATATAAAAAAAAAATAAAAAAAAAAAAAATAAAAATCAACATTCCACTTGTTTACTAGACATTGACCGAATCTCCCACCCCTTTAAACCAGCAATATAACCTATATCAGTTGGGACATATACACATCCTGCTAATCAGTAGTAGTTGCTGTGGTAAGAGTCCAGATATTCTCACTTGACTCATTTCTGATTTATCTTAGGATCGGTAGGATAAGGAAAAGGATCACAATGGGTGAAGAGTCTCCTTCAGAGACACCAAAACCCACTTTAAATCAGTGCGTTCATCAGCCGAAAACAAATCTGGAAGAGAGGGAATAAGTAAATAAAAACCAACTGCAGACAAACATGGGAAACAATGGTTTCACTAAACTCTGAATTATAGTGAACTGAAATATGAGCAACAAGATTAAGGTTAAAATGGCGAAACCACCCCTTTTTAAATTCACCCTCAGTAACTTAGAAAACACTAAAACTAGGCAAAAACTTAAATAGAATCAAGCGCTGGACAAGCATGTGCTCTGAGTTGGCAAGAGGAGGGAGTGAAGGTGGACAGAGAGAGGGAATTATAGAAAATAATAAACGTGCAGTGCCAACTGACATATTTCATGAACATAATTAACATTAACATAGTCATGTGTGTCCTGAAATGCTAAAGCAGAGGAGTTCAAACAGGGATTAAGCAAAACCATATTGGGCACTCACATGCATTAAATTTATCAGGTAAGAAAAATCTGACACTCACCACCAAATCATGTTATGCCTGTACATCCACTAGCTCTGGGGGCATTGGAGACTTAGGATGTTTACTTTCAAAATGTTGCTTGAATGTTTTGGGGTCTGGCATCTGAGTCTGAAAGAAACAATCAAGATGATTACATATATTTTATTTTTGTATTAAGAAGACATAAGTGGTTTGTAAAATGCTCAAAAAGTTTTAATTTTTTTTTAAAATAAAATCTGTCATTGCGATCAAAATATGAATGTGGATAGAAAACATAAGGATCAACAATACAAAGAAAAATATTAAATAAAAAAAAAAAAAAATCACACAAGTAACTGTGTATAGTTCTAAGGAAAACCTGTCTTGTTTTATAATGACTAAACTTTCAGATGGCATAATGTTTCTATAATACATACTAGTATACACATATAATGGTCAGGTGCAGTGGTCTTTTAGTGCAAACCATGCAAATCGGGATTGCAGGTTTTTGTTTTTTTAAAGAAACCGCAATGTTTACATTATAGGGATAAAAAGATACTTGCTGAAATACTTTGTGTAAAGAGGATGTCCCCTTTTTTCTTCAATTAACAAAATGTACACATTAACCTTGTTACTGCCCCTAAGCTGTCAGACAACAGGTCCTGTTACTTCCTGGTTTAGTTAGCTCGGTGAAGAAACTCGAGGCAGCAATTGCCCAGAGCACCTGCCTTGCAAATACACTTCACTGTGTAGCATTGGGTAGTCTTATTGGACTGCAGGAGAAAGTGTAGGAAAGAAGAAAAGGGCTTGCAAAGGCTTAAGACAAGAAAGCTACAGCTTGTGCATGCTATTTCTAGATATATCCACAATAATACAACGCAGAAATTAAAGGAACACTATAGGGTCACAAACACGTATTTGTGACATTATAGTGTTACAAACACCATCTAGTCCCCACCCCACTAAATATAGTAAAATCTTACTTTTATCACAGTCTGCTGCTACTTGCTCTGCCCCGATCTGCCTGCTTGGCTGGCATTGATCAAAGCCAATCACAATGCTTTCCCGTAGTAAAGCATTGGACTGGCTGAGACTGTCAAGGAGGCAGATCATAGGCAGAGCCGGCTGTAATGGTTATACTCACCAGAACAAATATAATAAGCTGTAGTTGCTCATGTGACTATAATGTCCCTTTAAAAAGGCATGCATGTTTTTATTGAGGGTTATATCTACTAAAAAGTGTCATCCGGACAACCACTAAAGGCGATTCCGCAGCAGTAACAGAGCAAAACATGGTCACGTGTTGCGTTAGCTCCAATAGGAAATCATTGAATCTTGAATGTGTGCATGTTACCCGAGGTACATGAGGATCAAGACCCCAATGCTTCTCTATGGAATGGACCATTGGAATGGACCACTGTGAAGGAGACCTTGCCTCCTCCATTTTATTGTGTAATGGAGAGTCGAGGGAACTGCAGCACTGGAAAGGTAAGTAAAAATATTAATTTTTTTGCACAACTAACTAGTGACAGTAAAAACATGAAGAATGCAGAGTTGTAATACTAATCCTTTTCAATGAAGGTAAATTAAAATATATGAATAAAAAACTGCTTACACCAACTTCCATCCACAATAATGATCACAGATTGTAAACACTTCAACAGAACATTCATGAGAAATGGTAAACCCACAGCTAACTTATTACACTCTCTAAGAAAAAGAGGTAGCAGTGTTTGTTTAAAGCCTCTATCAGAAGCTCTAAATTCCAGGAGTGACGTTTTAGAACAATAATTAAAGTAAATAGACATCTCTTACCCTGCACACAGGACAGGTAAAAACCAATGCAGCTTTAGCTGCAGCCTTCTGATCACTTCCTTGTTTCTTCTTATCAGCCTGTTTCTTTGCATTTTTCTGTTGAGATTGGATCTTTTGCTGCCCACGGGCCATACTGTCAAGCCTGCCAAAGATGAAAAGTATTAAAAAAGTAGCATATACACATTTCTCCAAAAATTCACATTTATGCAGAGATTTAGTTACAAATCCACCTTAAAGGACCACTATAGTGCCAGGAAAACATACTCGTTTTCCTGGCACTATAGTGCCCTGAGGGTGCCCCCACCCTCAGGGTCCCCCTCCCGCCCAGGTCTGGAAGGGGGAAAGGGGTAAAAACCTTACCTTTTTCCAGCGCTGGGCGGGAAGCTCTCCTCCTCCGATCCGTCCCGTCGACTGAATGCGCGCGCATTCAGCCGGTCGCATAGGAAAGCATTCATAATGCTTTCCTATGGATGCTTGCGTGCTCTCACTGTGAAAATCACAGTGAGAAGCACGCAAGCGCCTCTAGTGGCTATCAATGAGACAGCCGCTAGAGGCTTTGGGGGAAGGCTTAACCAATTGATAAACATAGCAGTTTCTCTGAAACCGCTATGTTTATAAAACAATGGGTTAACCCTAGAAGGACCTGGCACCCAGACCACTTCATTAAGCTGAAGTGGTCTGGGTGTCTAGAGTGGTCCTTTAAAATTAGGGATTGACCAATTATCAGCCGATATTTCGGATTTTGGCAAATATCAGTATCGGCCACTATTGATACCGATGATAGGCGGTGGTTGCCCAGCTGAGAGAGCAGTTCCTGTCAGTCCAGTCGGGCACAGGAAACTGAAGCTCCTGTTCTGCTGTCCGGCCACGCTACAAGAGAGGTAATGAGGTACATGAGAGAGGGGAGAGGACCACTAGGGAGGCAGGGGAGAGATTGTGAGGGGACAAAAACCACTAAGGGACAGGGAAGAGATTGTGAGGGGAGAAAAACCACTAAGGGACAGGGAAGAGATTGTGAGGGGAGAAAAACCACTAAGGGACAAGGAAGAGATTGTGAGGGGAGAAAAACCACTAAGGGACAGGGAAGAGATTGTGAGGGGAGAAAAACCACTAAGGGACAGGGAAGAGATTGTGAGGGGAGAAAAACCACTAAGGGACAGGGAAGAGATTGTGAGGGGAGAAAAACCACTAAGGGACAGGGAAGAGATTGTGAGGGGAGAAAAACCACTAAGGGACAGGGAAGAGATTGTGAGGGGAGAAAAACCACTAAGGGACAGGGAAGAGATTGTGAGGGGAGAAAAACCACTTAGGGACAAGGAAGATGGGAGGGGACAAAAACCACTAAGGGACAGGGAAGATGGGAGGGGACAAAAACCACTAAATATATTTTTGAAAACATAAAAAAAAATGTTAACAGTAGATTTGTGTAGAAACTTTATTTTATCAAAACGGTAAAAGTACAGAATACTGGTAAGTGATCGACTATCAAGTTCAGATTTTCTGTGACGAAATTTTTTAGATATATACACATACACACATACATATACACACATATATACACACACACATACATACACACACACACACACAAAAAAAATAAATTCAAAAAAAAAAAATCAATCCTTACTTAAAATATGTATAATATAGAATAAAATAAAAAGTACCAACACCACATCAAAAATATTATCTCTGAAGTATACTGGCTACCTACCCCAATTAATTATGGTCCGTATTCTAAATCAATGGTAATGTATTACAAAACACAACCTCTTGTTTAGCAATTTAACTTGTATAACGGTCATTAATTTTAGCATTTAAATAGCGCCGACATATTTCACAGTGCTTTACAAGTATGGAAAGTCGATAGAGGTGAAGAAGGCTTTGCTCAAACAAGCTTACAATCTATGAAGAGTTTAGGTACACTTACTGGTAAGATAGTCTGACTGGGCTTTGAACCTGGATTAACCACTTCCAATGCAGTTACCACTGCTCTAGCAAGCCATTAAAGGACCGCTATAGGCACCCAGACCACTTCAGCTTAATGAAGTGGTCTGGGTGCCTGGTCCAGCTAGGGTTAACCCCCACCCTTTTTTTTTTTTTATAAACGTTTACACTGAGGGTTAATCCAGCCTCTAGTGGCTGTCTCATTGACAGCCGCTAGAGGCGCTTGCATGCTTCTCACTGTGAAAAAATCACAGTGAGAAGACGCCAGCGTCCATAGGAAAGCATTGTAAATGTCTACTCTCAAAAAAAGAATTATCAACATTAGGGATCGACCGATTATCGGTTTTACCGATATAATCGGCCGATATTCTGTATTTTCGGCAATATCGGTATCGGCCAATTCAGATACCGATATTGCCGATAATACCTCCTAGGACCGCCAGGCTCATTACAAGCCCGGCGGTCCTGGGGGAAGCGGGCATCAAGCGCTTACTCACCTCCCAGCAGCTCCTCCAGCTCCCCAGTGCAACTCTCGCGAGACCCGCGGCCGTCAGAGCGCTGCCACGGATCACCATGGCAACGCTCCGCACGACACGCTGGCCGCGAGAGTTACACTGGGGAGCTGGAGGAGCTGAGTAAGCGCTTGATGCCCGCTCCCCCCCAGAGTTCAGCCAATGCCACTGGACCACCAGGGACTGTCATATCACCCCTCCCTGGCCAGGCAACAAGCAGGGGGGGGGACAACAACAAACAAAAAATAATTAAATCTAAAAATAATAATAATTTAATTAAAAAATGCCCCCTCACACACACACACACTCCATTATATACACATACACTACACAAACACACTGTGTATATAATGCAGTGTGTGTATATAATGCAGTGTGTGTATATACAATGCACACAAATACACACACACACTGTATTATACACACACACACTATACTATACACACTGTATATAATGCAGTGTGTTTGTGTAGTGTGTTTATATAATGCACACTACATTATATATATATATACACACACACACACACACACACACACACACTATACATTATATAAACACACTACATTCACTATACACACACACACTTTGCATTTAGTATATACAGCATTCACTTTATGCACACCACACAAACACTCTGCTTTCATTATATACACACACTACACAAATGCACACTGCATCCACTACACACACTCGACAAATACACACTGCATCCACCACACACACTCGACAAATACACACTGCATCCACCACACACACTCGACAAATACACACTGCATCCACTACACACACTCGACAAATACACACTGCATCCACTACACACACTCGACAAATACACACTGCATCCACTACACAAACACACATTGCATCCTCAACACACACTACACAAACACACACACTACACAAACACACACTGCCTCCACTACACACACTACACAAACACACACAGCTCCTCTGTCTAAACACACTGCATCCACTACATGTGGCATGTATATTTTGTGCATTTACCTTTAGAAATAGTTTTTATTTTCCAAAATGGTAAATGTACGGAATATCTGCAAATTATATTGGCTATCGGCCTGAAAGTTCACAGAATATCGGTATCGGTTCTTAAAAAAATCAATATCGGTCGATCCCTAATCAACATGTTTAAGAAGTGGTATTTAAGCAAGGCAATTTCTTAAAACCTACATACCCCTCTATGGAAGAAAATTCTCCTAAACTATTACAAGAAATATAAAAGAGCAAACATTGTTCTCTTTCAACAAAATTAAAAAGCACACAAGCAAATTCAATTTTAAATATTTTTTGTCAGTGTGTCAGTGTGTCAGTGTGTGTGTGTGTGTGTGTGTGTGTGTGTTGGGGCAGTGTGTGAGGGGCGCTACAGAGCCACCGGTGTCAGTGTATAGCAGGACATGGCAGCCCACATTACACATGTACACTATCCCTCTCCCAGTTACGCGCAGTTAATGCAGTAATCCCCACCTTCCTATAATGCTGCCATATTGCCAGGTCTCCTCCGGATTATCGATTCCTCAGCGAGCCAACCTCCAGCTATACTTACCGCTTTCTGTACAGACACAGAAACCTAGTTCACGCCTCCCCGGGCCTTCACAGTCGCGATGGTCGCTCGCCGCTCAATCGCGATAGTCCTGGCTGCAGCCTGCTACGGGCGGTTCAGTAAATGGACAACGTCACTTCCTATGTGGAGCGGAAGAGAGCGTTGCTAGGTTACAGGCACCATAGAGTTGCCTATGGGTGGATTTGGGATCTGACAGAACACCGGATCATAGAGCCGCCGCTCAGAGGGAAGCCGTTCCAGCAGCACAGGAAGTGGGCGGTAGTTGTAATTGTCCAATTTTTGGTTTAGCTCCGGGTTTTGCGTAGTTTGATATTATTATTATTAGTTTTATTATTACTCCTAGAGGAAAACGTCAGTACTTTATAATTTACAGCAGCGAAAACGAATCCCCTTCACTTGTGTTAAAGTAATAGTCCTGTACCTGTTTAGATTATTAGACCCTCACTTAAAGGGACACTATAGTCACCCAGACAACTTAAGCTTAATGAAGTGGTCTGGGTGCCAGGTCCCCCAGGTTTTAACCCCTTAAGGACGGAGCCAAATGTACACGTTGTGAACGAAACAAAATGTAAACAAAACCTGGCATTTGCGCTACATGTCTGTCCAACCGTAATTCACCTCTTTCATAGTAAATGCACCCACCCTTATTATATATCATTTTATTCAGGGGAAACAGGGCTGTCCTTTAATATCAAATATTTACCCATGAAACATAATTGAATATGAAAAAAATGGGAGAAAATTATATTATTATTTTTAGTTCTACATGACATTTTAACTGTCAATGACATAATACTGTTTGCTTTTACTGCAATAAAATACACATATTTGTATTCAGCAAAGTCTCACAAGTAAAACAGTACCCCCTATGTACAGGTTTTATGGCGTTTTGGGAAGTTACAGGGTCAAATATAGCACGTTACATTTGAAATTCGCCAGACTCAGCTCCCGCTTTATTCTGCATTTTCTGGGGGTAATACCCCTAAAAAACGGTGCAGCCGCACACTGGAGGAAGGCTACCTTGAAGGGGACACCTGGGAGAATCGCCCGATACCACATAGAAGCCTGTAACCCCCCGGGACCCAACGAGATACCCTGAGGCCTGCCGGAGATCGAGCTGCGGGGAGACGGCCGCTCCCTGGGCTGACTGACCTGCATGTAGTGCCCTCGGGGTTGACCACTTCTACCCCCCCCCCCTCGGGACCGACGGGGGTCATCTCGGTCCGCACCAAATGACAGCTAGGGCAGCGAGAAGCTGAACCAACAACTCGACGAACTGCAGCACAAGGGCAGCCGGGCGCGTGGTGCACCCAAAATGGCGGCGGCAAGCACATCAGGCGAGCTGCACTGCAAATCTGAAACTGAGATCCACAGCGAAGATGTGAGGCGCATAGAAGCTGCTTTTGCCCGATTCTGGCACAAGCTAAATAAAAAGCTGCAAACACCTCAAGCGACCCTGCAACCCCTAACAGGTACGAGTAAACACGACTGTGCCCATGGGGAAAAGAGAAAAATACAGCCACACAAGCAGACAGTACACAAGAAGGGAGTTGGGAACGAGGGGAAGAGGCACCCCACTCCGGGCACAGCAACTGACCCCAAACCAGCAACGCAAGCACAATGCCCGCCGAGGCTGAGGGCCGTGAGGAAACCACCTCCGCAGCATCAACCACCCTGCAGGGGGACTGCCCGCCACAGGCGGCGAAGATACGCCGGCTCCACCTGCACCCGACAAGGGAATGCCTCGTTCTCTCAGAGCCATCGAGTCAGTGGTCCGAAGATGCCACCCTCCATAAAGACCTGGGGCAGATATTTATTTGCTTGAGCCTGGACGTTAGCCAGTCTGCTCAAATACCACTGCACATATGGCAGATAGCAGTGGGGGGTGCCCGGGGATATAGGCACGACAGTATTTGCAAGCAGTTAATCGCTTATTGTGTTAGCGTGTTCTTATTATTTGAGTTAATTTTACACAACAGAGAACTACTGAGCCTGCGCAATCACCCTATTCAAAACTAGCTCACTTAACCTATTACAACTAATTATTAAGCGACTTAAATTGCATATTGCCTAAACCTGTTTACAAAAGCAACGTTAAACCATAAAACATAAAAAAGAGGTACAAATATTAAGGAAATGTTAGATACCACTGTTATTGAGCCCTGTACTGTATTCTAAATGCACATTTCCCTCTCTCTATTCTGTATCCCATCTAATATGCCTCAATAAAATACAGATTGGAAAAAAAAATAATACAAATATGTTTTCCTAACAGTAAGTGTACCCGGTCACGGTTTAGGTGACCCGGCTAGCTCTGCCTGGACTAAAGCTAATTTATTTAAGTTTTCTCCAGCACCGGCTCCATCTCTTTGGCTTAGAGTAGATGATAGAGTTCAATGATCTTAGCCAATTTAGTGCGTTTTCAAAGCATAGGGAGGCCAGAGCGCATGTGCTGCGTTAATCACATAGTCTCTCTGGACATTCAGACTGAAATATCAGTTTTACTCTTCTATTTCATGGTAGTGCCTCTAGTGGTTGTCATGTTGACAGCCACTGCAGGTTAAAGGGTTACTCCAACCCTTTTGGTGAGGGTCACCTTTCCTTTGTATGATGTCCTTTTGGCACTATGGAGATGGTCTCTTTGAGTGCAGTATAATTTGTAAGATAAAGGTTTTACTCATCTTGAATCCATCTCCGGGTGAAGCTTATTGCGCTGATTTTCCATGACCCCTCCAAAGTCACAAAGACTTCTCATTGAAAAGCCAGTGATTGGACCATTTTGCCAGCAAGGTGAGACAGATTTAAAAATGACAAATGTGCAATGGAGGGATTATTTTCATGTCTGTCGGCAGCATGCAGTGCTTGCTAACAACAGACATTTTTTATGCATAGAATTGACATTGTAAGCCAGGAACAGTTATGGACTGCCAAATCACATGTGCTGAGGGTGCAATTAGCCCCCAGCACACAATTAAAGGAACACTATAGGGTCAGGAACACAAACATTCCTGACCTTATAGTGCAAAACCCACCATTAAGGTGGCTTGCCCCCACTTAAAAGGAATTAAAACTCACCTTATTTCCAGCGCCGTGGCTAAAATTGGCAAGGGGGTGGGGCCAAACACTGTTTTCCCCAATCAGCACCTCCTCATAGAGATCCATTGAATCAGTGCATTTCTATGAGGAAAATGGGGACACTGAACAGCAGAGCTGCCCGCTGTGCAGCACTGAGTCAGGAAGTACCTCCAGTGGCCATCTGAGGACTGGCCATTTGGAGGTGTCCCTAGGGGCAATGTAACAACTGCCTTTTCTCTGAAAAGACAGTGTTTGCATGAAAGTGCCTGTATATAATGGTTATAATCACCAGAACAACTACATTAAGCTGTAGTTGTTCTGGTGACTATAGTGTCACTTTAATAATATCTCTATATGTGCAGTATTTGAAGCTGAAACACTCCACAAACATACCCCTACCACAAAGATCACTTCAAGTCACTGAAGTGGTTATGGAGGTTAGAGTAACCCTTTAACTCTGCAAAGAAAAGTCAGTCCCTGCAGACATTATTTTAGAGAAAAGGCATTGTTTACATTACAGTCTCGTAACACCTCTAGTGTCAGTCACTCAGACTCAGAATGATGTATTTTTGTGTATTTTTGCTGCTGTTGTGAATAGAGGTGTTTTCTTTATGCTGGAGATAATTGGCTTACCACACCCAAGCCATGCTTGCAGTCAGTCAAATAGGACGTCCATCTATCTTTTGAACCACTGGACCAATTTGTATGATTTTGACATATGTTTGTATTTGGAGTATGATGAATATGCAAGTGTTATGTGAATCTGATGCATACTTTTAAAGTTATGAATATTGTGTAAAACTGTGTATTTTCCTGCCTGTGATAATTACGTTAACTACGTTAGCCCATTGTGTTCAGTAATTCAGGGGAGGATTTTACTGTGTGTGTGGGAGTGTTATTTTGTTAATTAGTGTTCCCTTTGGTTTGTGTCCCTTTTGTCACAGTTTACCACCAGGTCTAGGGGGTGTATATAATGGTTATAATCACCAGAACAACTACATTAAGCTGTAGTTGTTCTGGTGACTATAGTGTCACTTTAATAATATCTCTATATGTGCACTATTTGAAGCTGAAACACTCCACAAACATACCCCTACCACAAAGATCACTTCAAGTCACTGAAGTGGTCACTTCAAGTCACTGAAAACCTGTATAAAAGAAAGTCCTTTTGTGTGCATTAAAGCAGATCATCTTGTACTTTAATGAAGTTTCGGCTCATGTTTGGGGGATTGGAGAACTACACTCTGGGGATTGCTATAATCACTATACTCCCCAGGGTATAATCACTAAGCTCTGCTAAGAGCTTGTTCCTGTTCCTGCTCTCTGGAATTCTGAGAGATTTTCCTACTGGAAGCTGGACCCTGGTCTTGGGTCCAGAGTGGGTGGAGACGGCGGTTCGTGGGAGTCTACAGTGGTTATGGTGTATGGCGGTTCGTGGGAGTCTACAGTGGTTAAAGCTGCGGCGGTTCGTGGGAGTCTACAGTGGTTATGGTGTATGGCGGAGTGCTTGTAGCCCTTGGGAAGCACTAGGTGCATTATTAACAGAAGGTACTCGATCGGAGTACAGATGTTCCATTACAGTGGTGAGATAGCGTCCTAGGGCGAGGTGAAGCAGCTCGTATTGTATGGAGACCTCGGAAAGCACTAGGAGCATCCGTCAGCGGAAGGTACCCGGTCGGGGTGCCAGCGGTTCCGTTACAGCATATATAAAATGGTAATTTTATGCTGTTCATGGAGTGCCGCTCTTTGGGAACAGACGTAAAACTACGTATAATTGTATCATCTAATCCAAAGTTTGTGGAATACATCTAAATTAAGTGGTCTGGTGCAAGGATTTTTGATTACACATGTGCATTTTGTTGTTCCTTAATACCCCTCTTGAATCTTTTACCCCATTTTGTGTTTCTTATCCACTCTTTTGAATGTCTTGCCTCCTTTAAAGGACCACTCTAGGCACCCAGACCACTTCAGCTTAATGAAGTGGTCTGGGTGCCAGGTCCAGCTAGGGTTAACCCATTCTTTTATAAACATAGCAGTTTCAGAGAAACTGCTATGTTTATGAATGGGTTAAGCCCTCCCCTATTTCCTCTAGCGGCTGTCTCATTGACAGCCGCTAGAGGCGCTTGCGTGATTCTCACTGTGAAAATCACAGTGAGAGCACGCAGGCGTCCATAGGAAAGCATTGATAATGCTTTCCTATGTGACCAGCTGAATGCGCGCGCAGCTCTTGCCGCGCATGCACATTCAGCTGACGGGGAGGAATGGAGGAGGATCGGAGGAGGAGAGCTCCCCGCCCAGCGCTGGAAAAAGGTAAGTTTTTACCCCTTTCCCCCTTCCAGAGCCGGGCGGGAGGGGGACCCTGAGGGTGGGGGCACCCTCAATGCACTATAGTGCCAGGAAAACGAGTATGTTTTCCTGGCACTATAGTGGTCCTTTAAAGCGGCACTGTCATGCCGAATCCCGTTTTTTTTTTAACCCCCCTCCCGCCTCCACTACATCCAATTGACCCACTAGTCACCCCCAAATACCCCTAAGCTATACCGCGAGTAGGGGCATGTCTACTAAACAGTGAGCAGCCTGTGGCCTATTGTCCTCCCCCACCCCGAGCGGTGGGTGGGGGCCCTTATAAAACAATAAGGGGGGGGACCTACTGTCCTCCCCCCTGGCCCCCACCCCTGCGCGGTGGGTAGGGGCCCTAATAAAACAATAAGGGGGGGGACCTATGTCCTCCCCCCCGGCCCCCACCCCTGCGTGGTGGGTGGGGGCCCTTATAAAACAATAAGGGGGGGACCTACTGTCCTCCCCCCCTGGCCCCCACCCCTGCGCGGTGGGTGGGGGCCCTTATAAAACAATAAGGGGGGGGACCTACTGTCCTCCCCCCACCCCCCTGAGCGGTGGGTGGGGGCCCTAAACAATAAGGGGGGGACCTACTCCTCCCCGGCCCCCACCTGGCGGTGGGTGGGGGCCCTAAATGAAACCCCCCCCCCCCCAATCAAGGTGACCAGGGGTCCCAAGCCCCTAGTCACCCCCACCCAAAAAAAAACTATCCCCTACCTACCCCCTCACCCTAAAAATAGTGAGGGGGGAATAAATAACTAACCTGTAAAAAAAACATTAAACTTACCATTTGACGTCTTCTTTTTTCTAAAATCTTCTTTCTTCAGCCCCCAAAAAGGCCAAATAAAAATCCATCATACCCGTCGCACTTTAAAAAAAAACAAAAAAACCGAGCGCAAAAAAAAATTAATCCATGTTCGCCCTTCGAGGGCACGCCGCGAACTGAGCTCCGCAGGGTGGGTCAAGGCTTATAAAGCCTTGCCCCGCCCTGCAATTAGGCTTAGAACACTCTGATTGGTGGGTTTAAGCCAATCAGAGTGCTCTGTGTCATTTTACACAGCGTGGGAAAGTTCTTTTGAATTTTCCCACGCTGTGTAAAATGACTCATAACACTCTGATTGATTACTTAATCCACCAATCAGAGTGCTATGAGTCATTTTACACAGCGTGGGAAAATTCAAAAGAACTATTCCACGCTGTGTAAAATGACACAGAGCACTCTGATTGGGTGGCTTGAAAGTGTGGGTGTGCTCTAAAAATAGTGAGGGGGGTAGGTAGGGGATAGTTTTTTTTTATTGGGTTGGGGGGCGACTAGGGGCTTGGGACCCCTAGGGGCGACTAGGGGCTTGGGACCCCTAGTCACCTTGGTCAGGGGGTGTTCATTTGGGGCCCACCAAGAGGTGAGCCGAGGGCACACCGTGGGTCCCCCACGTAGAGCCCCGCACCCACGGCGCGAGCTGAGAAGCCAGAAACGGTCCTCTTTGGGCCCCACGCGAAGAGGTGAAAACTGAAGAGAACAGTAGGTCTATTTATTTGGGGCCCCACCCGCACGGCTCGGGGGTAGACCAGAGGAAGGACAGTAAGGTCCCATCTTTATTTAGGGCCCCCACGGGCATGGGGTTGGTGGGTTATTAGTTGTTTTTTTTTTACAGTGAGCAGCTATAAGCTGCTCACTGCTTACTACACATGCCCCTACTCGCGATATAGCGAGTAGGGGCATATTATTTACTAATACTAAGTAATCTTTACTTAGTATTAGTAAATTTGGCTGAAAGACCAATTTAGGTCTTTCAGCTTTTTAGTAGATAGCTCCCTGATGCCGTAGGAGATTCTGTTTCCTCTACCCAGTCTGACAGGAAGTAGTTTGGCACTCCCTGCGTGTACTTCTAGTCAGACAGAAGTAGGGATCGACCAATATTGGTTTTTTAGAGCCGATACCGATAATCTGTAAACATTGAGGCCGATAGCTGATAACTTGCCGATATTCTGTACATTTACCATTTTGAAAAAAATAAACTATTTCTAAAGGTAAATGCACAAAATATGCATGCCAAATGTAGTGGATGCAGTGTGTTTAGACAGGGGAGCTGTGTGTGTTTGTGTAGTGTGTATATAATGAATGCAGGGTGTGTTTGTGTAGTGTGTATAGTGAATGCAGTGAGTGTTTGTGAAGTGTGTATAGTAAATGCAGGGTGTGTTTGTGTAGTGTGTATAGTGAGTGTGTAGTGTGTATAGTGAATGCGGTGAGTGTTTGTATAGTGAATGCAGTGAGAGTTTGTGTAGTGTTCATATAGTGAGTGTTTGTGTAGTGTGCGTAAAGTGAATGCAGTGAGTGTTTGTGTAGTGTGCGTAAAGTGAATGCAGTGTGTGTGTATAGTGAATGCAGTGTTTGTGTAGTGTGTGTATATAATGCAGAGTGTGTAGATAATGTAGTGTCTGTATATAATGCAGTGTGTGTGTTTGTGTAGTGTGTGTGTATATAATGAATGCAGAGTGTGTGTGTGTATATAATGAATGCAAAGTGTGCGTGTGTGTAATGAATGCAGAGTGTGTGTATATAATGAATGTAGTGTGTATATAATGAATGCAGTGTGTGTGTACATATATAATGCAGAGTGTGTGTCGTGTGTGTGTTTGTATAGTGTGTGTGTTTGTGAAGGGATGTAATTTGTGTAAAATGGGCGGGCATTTTTTATTTTAAAGGAACACTATAATCACCTAAATTACTTTAGCTAAATAAAGCAGTTTTAGTGTATAGATCATTCCCCTGCAATTTCACTGCTCAATTCACTGTCATTTAGGAGTTAAATCACTTTGTTTCTGTTTATGCAGCCCTAGCCACACCTCCCCTGGCTATGATTGACAGAGGCTGCATGAAAAAAAAAACTGGTTTCACTTTCAAACAGAACTAATTGACCTTAAATAATTGTATCTCAATCTCTAAATTGAACTTTAACTCCTTCAGGACGGAGTCAATAGTACACGTTCTGATCAAAACAAAACGTAAACAAAAACTGGAATTTGCGCTATATGTCTGTTCACCTGTAATTCACCTCTGTCACATTAAGTGCACCCACACTTATTATATATCATTTTGTTCAGGAGAAACAGGGCTTTAATTTATCATTAACTATTCATATGTGGAACATCATTTATTATGAATAAAATTTAAACATTTTTTAGAAAATAAGATTTTATTTTTTTAAAAATTTGTATTTCCGTCTGACATTTTAGCTGTTAATGTCAAAATACTGTTAGGTATTACTGCAAAAAAAAATGCCCATATTTGTAATCAGCGATGTCTCACGAGTACAACAGTACCACCCATTAACAGGTTTTATGGTGTTTTGGAAAGTTACAGGGTCAAATATAGAACGTTCCATTTTCAAATTGAGATTTGCCAGATTAGTAATGTTACCTTTGAGACGGTGTGGTAGCTCAGGAATGAGAATTACCCCCATAATGGCATACCATTTGAAAAAGTAGACAACCCAAGGTATTGAACATGGGGTATGTTTAGTCTTTTTTAGTAGCCACTTAGTCACAAACACTGGCCAAGGTTATCATTCATATTTGTTTTTGTGTGAAAAAAGCAAAAAACTAATATTTGGCCAGTGTTTGTGACTAAGTGGCTACTAAAATGACTGGACATACCCCATTTGCAATACCTTGGGTTGTCTACTTTTGCAAATGGTATGCCATACGGTCTCAAAGGCAACATAACCAATCTGGCAAATTTCAATGTCAAGGCAACATAACCAATCTGGCAAATTTCAATGTCAAAAAAATGAAA